GGCAAAGAGAAGGGATGGAAAATCATGTGCCAAAATGTAACTGGCTCATTTCTGCTCCCATTCAACTGCATGAGTTTTATGAAATTTCTTCAATAAACTGCAATCAAACTAACCGTGAGCAATGTGGGGTTTCCGTGCCGTTACACAATTCACCTAAAAGTGTAATTTTAGAATAAGGTTTAGAAGATTCGCCATAGGCACTCACTGTCACTCAGAGCCTTTCCATCTCCTCCTCCCCATCTCAGTCCCAGAGAACAGGGGGAAAATTAAGTGTATTTGAGACAGGGGTCACAGAGTGGCAATATCCAAGTGCTTTGGGAGGTTCTCCAAGTTGCACAGCCAACAGAGCAAGACCAGAAGGTTGGGCTGGTTTCACCTCGCCATAAACACCTATATCCAGGCCAGCCAAAGGACAGAAACAGTCAATTTTGGGTCAAGCCATTTGTTCTCCAGTAACACCTCCCTCCCTCTGTGGGACTGAAAGCGCCCTAGGGAGTGGGCTGAAGATGTCTGCATGGCAGGAGCACTCCAAAAGGTGCTTTAAAGGAAAGATGGATCCCGCTAATCAGAGCTCAACTTCTGGAAAGGTTCATTCCAGACCTGCAGCTTGTGCAGGAAAAACGGGAGGGATTTATCTCCATCCCCTCTCCAGAGCCGTCAGGCCAAGAGCTAAACAAGGATGCGATCCCAGGGCAGGGAGATGCTCCTGAGCCGAGGTTTCTGTTGGGTCAGCAGATCGAAGCTGGGCTGGCTCAGACAAGCTGGCAGTACTGACCTCTGCTCAGGTCTGTAATTAAAAACCCAAGAGAGAGAAAGGGAGAAAAGAAGCCAACGTGACTTCTTCCATTCCACGGAAGATGCCAACTATCACATGCAGCAGCTGTTCTCCAGCATCCAGGACCCAATCATGAAAGATGCTGAGCACTCTGAACTCCTTTTAGGCCGAGTCCCAAAAAGTGCTTAGCACATACAACTCCCACACAGCTTTACCCTAAAACGTTGTGCGGCCAAATGAGGCAGGCCAGCTTTCAGGCTTGCATGCATGAACTTCTCTCTGATCCTCTTCATGGAGCAGAACATGTTCTCAGGCCGTGGTGAATGCCAAGAAAATCACATAAAAGCAAATGCACCTTCAGAAAAGGCTGGGATCTTCAGGGTTAAGCTCTCAGTGTTACGGAGGCAATAGAATTAAGAGGGTTCCCACCCATGGCACACAGCCCTTTTGCGGTTTCTGCAACGACGGGACTGAAAAGTCACCTATTTCATTTCCTAGGAAAGACTTACCTGCCTTTCCTGCATCTTTGTCACTCTGAACCCGCCTCCTTTGCTGAAAAATAACCAAATAAATAGATAAATAAATAAATACAGCCCAAACTTACATTCACAGGGATTTGCCAAACAATTTCACCAGAAAGAAAAGACCAAGCTCAGTTCTCCTGTAAGCTATTCCCCATGGAGGTGTCAACCTATCCGACCAGTGTCAGTCACACTCCCCCCAAAACTAGGGAGAACAACAGACTCCCTTCTTCAGGGCATTCAGCAGAGGAGAGAAGCACACAGGTAGCTTGAGAGATCACCTCGATCTGTTAAACCTTTCCCTTTGATTTTTCTCTGGTTGGTGCAAAGGTCTGAGCTGGAAAATCTTTCATGCATTCTCCTGCTCTCGCACCCCCTTCCGCTGCGCCCGTTTTCTGCTTGTAGTGACAGACCAGCAGAGCCCTAGCACCAAGAAATACGCTCACACGGGTCCATCTCCAGTCCCAAGGGAATTAGAAAACTGTTCTTGAGGCCAACAAAATTACAGAGGTCAAATGAAAGAAAGAAAGGAGTAAATTACAGAATTAGGCTAACAAAAGGAGCAACTCTGATGAAAGGCTAACGCAGCACCAAACCAAATCAGCCCCAGTGTTTGGATGCCTAGAATATTCCCAGAGGTTTAACTCAGATTCTTCTTTTCCCACACGTAAAACAAAGCAATGGTCCTTCCCTCGCTCCCAGTGCCCTGCAAACATCAAAAGATTGGTTCTGCTTCTCTCTTTCATGTTTACTACAAAAAAAGGGAGGTTTGTAAACGCAGTTTTTATGGGACCAGGGATTCCCTCCCATTCAAATCGAGTGGGATATTACCAAACAACCTAAGCTCATAAACACCTTTTTAAATGGGTCTTTTGGGGCTGGTTGTGCAGCCAAAGCCTGTTTTCCTGGGACATAAAAAGGTGAAAGCTCTGCTTCTCATTGCAGAGGGTTTCTGGCTGGGTTAGTTCACGTGTCTCCTGCTCCTGCGTTCAGCTGCTCCCTCTGCCTTCTTTCCCTTTCGAGATGGTCTTGACATCTTGCCAATCCTACCAGAGTTGGGGGCAGGAGGAGTTTCAGCTCTTGCTCTGCTGTGATCCCCAGAAGCGTGAAGGGAGACGCTGTCAGCACCACCACATGCCAGGGAGGCGGTGGTGCGGGGTGCCCCAGGCTGGGATGCTTCAGCAGCAGAAGCCTCGGTGGCCACGCAGGCTGCAAGCCCAAGCCAGCGATCGGCGGCCGTCACCTACCGCGGTGTGGCTGCAGCCCCTCGAGGATGGGGTCGGGCTGTGGAGGTGCTGCCTTTGTCCGCAGGGTCGGTGCAGCCCTGGGGGTCTGCATAGCCATTGCCGAGGTCACAGTCAAGAAGCATCGGCTCCTCGAGCTCCTTGAAGCTCCGGCCGCTCAAGCTGGAGATGGACCCAAACCGTCAGTCGGTGAAGGAACGCTAAAGAAGCGGATCAAGACCCTCAAGAACAAATTTGCATTTTTCATTGGCAAGGCAAGAGAAGAGGTGCCCAGCTCAACGGGCGCCGCAGCTGCAGAGCCGTAACAAGGTGCCGTACGGCCCATCCGAGACAAGGAACACAAGTGCCAAACCAACAGCAGCCAAAACTCACAGCCTGACTCCGCAGGATGTTTTAGGGGTTTTGCAAGGAGGACATTTTGCACCGCCTTAAGAGTAAAAAGGCGCATTCAGTGGTAGGCAAGAAGGCATTTTCATGCTCCAAGAGCACTGCAAAGCAGTCTTATTGCAAATAACAATCAAGCTTTGCTGCTACATGCAAAGCTCATTCTCTAATGCCCCATTTTTATATCACTTCAGTAGAATTACTGCTGACTTATCCCAGTCTCCTTCGGTGCTGAGTCTAACTTGGTGCTTTCTGCATAACAACAACCAGGACATTTGTCTGAGGAACCTTCTTAGGAGAAGACGCTTCCTGACAGATCTTAAACGCTCGCCTTCTCCATTCACCTGATACCATCCTGAATGACTCACAGATTTTCTCCCTCAATTTGCCAATTCTGGGACTGTAATTGTTCATTTCTCTGTCACCAGTAGAACAAATCACTCTACTTTGAATGCTTTACTTCTGGGTTTCAAGCCCAGCGCCTGGAGCAACAGAACAAGCTGCTGGAGACCAAACAGGGATTTCTATGGGAACAAAAGCGTTACAGGAGCAATATCGAGCCAATGTTTGGAACTTATACTGGCAACTTGAAGAGGCAGCTGCATGTTCTGGGAAGTGACGGAGCCAAGCTGGAAACAGAACTGAGCACCATGCAGGGTATCACGGTATCATTTCCTACAGGAAGCTGCTGGAGGGAAAAGAGAGCCAGTGGGTGCTGGTACAACCCTGCAGGATGCTCACACGGAAGATTACAAGAAACAGTAACTTTAAAAAAAGATAAAAGCTCCAAAACCAGCACTAGAACTGATCTCGTCTAATTATTGGGTGGCAACTGCTGCACGAGATGCAAGATAAGATTACAAGAAAAAGTAAGTTTAAAAAAAGATAAAAGCTCCAAAACCAGCGCTAGAACTGATCTCGTCTAATTTTTGGGTGGCAACTGCTGCACGAGATGCAAGATCTCCTCCAGGTGTATATGTGTAGGACTTGCACCAGCATTGTTCTCCATGCCAAGGTTGAGCATTTGGAGGTGGTAGAGGAAGATTAGATTGATTTTCTTGCTTAAGCTGAATAACGAGGAGCAAAATGACCTTTTGTCTTCTCCTTCCAGGTATGAAGAGGAAACCCACTGGCAAACACACGCAGAGAATGAGATTACGCACGCAGAGAATGAGATTGTTATCTCAAAAAGGTTAAGAGTATTTCAAACCAGCTCAAATACTTATTCTGGGCTTTTAGAATGAAGAGCAGCCAATATCGCTGGAAAGAGAGGATGAGACTGCCTCTCACTCTCCAGAGACTCTAGAGGGACCTAAAGGCCAGCTTTTGGGAAGATTTAATTAAAAGAGTTGAATCCCACCTTAAGTGAGTCAGTTTTAGCCAAGCTTCTTCATTTGGGATGTTTGTATTCCCCAACGGGTCAACCCCCTTCTTTCTCTTTCTCTGTCTCTAGTGATTTTTTCGTCTTCTGCCCAAGAGGATAAGACAGCAAAGCAATTCAATAGCATGGTAAAATTTGTGTCCTTGAAAAGAGCAGCCCTAAACTGAGCTGGAAGCCAAGGTAGAGCGCACCACATCTCCTTGTCCCCATGCCACGGCGATCCGCAGGGAAAACGCCCCCAGTGCAGACGACCTTGCTGCTGCCCCAAGGAAATCATGCATCCCCCATGTTGGGTACTTCTGTTATTGTGCAAATGGACAACGATGAAGCCCGGACGTGGATGACATCACCGATGTCAAAGCTCAACATGACGACGTCGCCAAAAGAAGCCAGAGCGAGGCAGAGTCCTGGCGCTACAGCAAGGTGAGTCACGATGGACACGCACAAAAGTAGTTAGGTCCCACTTCTGCTATGGGCTCTGCTTCTTCAGGCTTCCTAATTCGGGTTGAATAGGCTTTTTAAAGGTCTGCTTTCTTAGCCACCTGTTGTGTTTTCCCTATTGGGATACATCCTCTGCAAATGCCTTCACACACAGTGCTGCTGCTGTGTACATGAGTCATTCGTGTCCCCCAGCGACAAAGGTTTTTGCCTTAAAGCTCAAGATCCGGGACTGCGGCCCCAGAACCCCATAGCAGGTTTAATTACTGACTCATCTCCTCACTCTGGTATTTACTTTCATCGTGTTTTCTCTCTCCTTAGTATGAGGAACCGAGAGAAACCACTGGCAAACACCATGACAGCTCACGTAACACAGAGAATGAAATTGCGGAGCTGAACTGGGTGATTCAGAGACTTACTGGAGAATGTGAAAACACCAAAGCCCAGGTAAGGATGACTCAGGGGCAATAATGTGTCAATTGCAGCTCCCAGGTTGTGGCTTTCCAGAACTCCTCTGCTACAGCAAGTAGCAATAAAGCCAGTTTTGATGAAACACATGTCAGCTGCTTAAGACTTGCCTATAATCCGGAGCGCAGAGCAAACTGCTCTGTTACGACTAATGACTGAACTACCATGAGTAGAGACCTGCAGTGAGAAGACAACACATACTCAGCTAGGCAGAGAGAATCGTCCTAGAGTTAGAAGTTTACCCACGGAGCGTGGAAATACAACAAAGTGCAGGCGGATGAACACACAGACAGATTCAAGAGCTCTGAACTACTCAAAGCACATGCAAATAAGCGGCAGCAATGAAAATCTCCTACCTGCAGAGACGCAAACTGGAAGGAGCCATTGCTGAAGCCGAGGAGCACGGGGAAGCGGTTGACAAGGATGCAAAGTGCAAACTCGCTGAGCTAGAGGTATCCCTGCAGAAGGTGCAGCAGGACACGGCCTGCGAGTACCAGGAGCTCATGAACGTCAGGCTGGCCCTGGGCATTGAGATCGGGACCTACAGGAAGCTGCTGGAGGGAGAAGAGAGCCGGTGGGTGCTGGTACAACCCTGCAGGATGCTCACAAGGAGGAAACAGTAACACATCCAACCCCACAACCACCTTTCACAGTCTGCCTGATAAGCCACCACCTCTGTAAGTGCAGCAAATCCCACTGAGACCCGACGTCCTAGGGAGTGACACTTTCCAAAGCGCTTTCCAGCATTTATGGACCCAAACACATTTCAAAGTCAAAAGCTCCCAATGCACTCAGGCACTTCGGTTTTCCCCCAAATGGAAGACCTTGCGTGAATAAAGATAACATCTTGTGCAGCCTGAGGTCTTATCAAGCCAAAGGCTTGGCCACAGTCGTGCCTGGCCACCTTTGCCACCCCGGCTGAAATGACTGGGTACCTCTCCGTACGCCAGCTAATTGAGGGGACCGAGGGAAAGCCCTAGGACAGGACTTGTTCACGTGCACACACAGAGCCAAAGCAAAACCCTTCCTCTGCTCGGGAATGACACCAGGCTCAGGAAAACTTCCTCACAGGCAGAAGCCACAGTCTAGTCATGGCAGGTCCAAGGCACTTGCCTGGCCTGCCGGCCGATGCCCACATTCCCAAAGCTGCCAATTATTGGCCAGTTATAAGGACACACACTAAATATGGACTTTGGCTTTTCACATCTCCATTTTCCCCATCCCTCTAACGCTGTGTGCAGACGGTGGCTGCCTTGTGAACATTTTAAGCACCAGACAAATCCCTATCCCTCCTAGTCCCCCTGGATCTACTCTGTAGGACTGAAATACCGAGCTGCAATATTTTCTCTGCAGCTGCGTGCTGACCCCCAGGAAGAGTCATGTGCAATACTCACCCATGCTTTGGTGGCAGCTGCTCTTCCAGCAGCAGATCCCTACTCAGAAGCGGAGATCTAGAGACCAGAGGAGACTTGTGTGGCAAAAGCATCACTGATTCTGGAGACATCAGTGTTCTTTGTACCACCATGGGAGGATACAGTGCTGTGAGTGGGAAGAGCTCCAATCTCGGACTTGTGTCCTCCTAAAGTTCAAAGTACTAAAAAAACAACAAGCATTTGAGAGGAGGGCCCTCACTCCACCAGTTCGTATCAGCAGCAGGCTGCTAACAGCACACACAGAAAACACAGAGGGGATTTTAAAGCTTTCAGACCAGTCTACGTTGCTTATTCCCTGTACCATTCCCTACTGTTACAAAACTTGCTCTTTTCGGTACCTTGTGCTGTAGGTTTACAACTTGTCTCTTCCCAAAGTTTGCCCGTTCCTCCTGGGTTGCGCAGGTCTTGCAAAGCCGGGACAGCAATGCTGTTTGAAAAAGGCAGCACGCAGTCAGCACAGCATATGTGTTAAGGAACCACTTGCCTGGGAAGATAACTGGGTCAAAATCAGTAAGCGATAGAAGTTTCTGCTCCTCCAGCGGATGGACACGACCGCAAGGAAAAGCTAAAAGTCAAAGGGAGCAGAGAAGTCTTACCTAGATCATCCGATTCCTCTATGAGGCTTGTTGTTTGCCTTTACCTGTTTTTTTTCCTATTTCTCCCCAATAAACTGACACAGTAAATCTGAGATCACATGCTATAGCTCCTCTTTTCAGAGTTACAAAACACACAGTAATGAGACAATTAAAAAAAACGAGCCCAAACTCAAATCAAGGCCAAGGCCATCTCTCATTAGAGTCCCCACGGCATCCACTGGCTTTTGGAAAATGTGGGGTGCAGAGCTGGTCCATGGGAACAGGGAGGGCGGTGAGGAGATCAGGTCCCAGCACGTCACCCACCACTCTCCTCCAGTGTCCATCATTCAGCGAACATCACACCTTGACCTAATCCCCTAAAACCAGGACAAAAGAGGTGGGGGGCAACTCCCTGGGGCCTGAAAAATCACCGTGGAATGACAGACCTGCTAGGAGTGGCTACAGCCAGGCTGCGTGAAAGCAGCTGGGGTGCAAGAGGTCACGGGAACAGGAACAAAACCAGGCGATATTTTCCTGCTCTGAAGCCTGTGGTAGGCTGGGAAAGGAGGAATTCTCCCATTAAAAAGCTTTTCCAAAACAAGAGCTTTTTTTTTGTTTTAAAAAAATTACTATTTTTCCATTAAAACAAAAAAAAGCAGCACTTTCTCACATCTCACTCCCAACACTCTCAACCCAATTTGAACTATTTGCCTTCACTGAGCTAGCTCAAAACATCTCAGGTTCTTTTGGAGTCCGTTCAACAACATACTCAGCTGCCTTTCCCTGTCGCACTGCAGAACCTGCAGCTTTATCCACGGCCCCTCTCTCCCTTCGGGTCAGGCTCCCGGCAAGCCCAGCCTCCTGCAACCCCTGTCCTCAGATTTCTGTCCAAAAGCGCTGTACGGTTGCGTCTGGTGGCAGTTGTCGCGTCAAAACCAGAAAGTGTTTCCTAGGATGACAACGTGGAGAGAAGAGGTGCAGCCAGAGAGCCATAAAATACAACTACAGTCTGGAGCAGCATGGTCTGACACGTGGGGACTGAGGACAACCACAAGATTAACCCTTGATCTTCTCAGGGCCTGTTCCTCTAAGGATGTCTGTGAGCCAAAGCGTCCAAGAGCTCCCAGGTTCCCGAGCGAAGCTGGTAATTCCGGCTCGCAGTTGTAACCGACCACTGAATAG